AGGTACCTGTTTTTAACAACCTGGCCAAACTGAGCCAACCTTAATTTGATTGCCTTCATAAAGCTTATTGTATCCTCCAGGTATGACAAACTTGAAATTATCCATCTGGCTTTATTCACCCCCTGGCTCTTCTTGTCCAGTCTTCATGACATTGCCTGAAAGTCCTTGCTGTACCCAACTGGCCATAACTTCCTGCCATTGTCCACGTGTTCTTACTCATCTGTTTGTAATTTGCTGGCCTCATTGTCCCGTCAAGACCGAGCTGATTTTACCAGCTATGAGTGACCCACCCACCTTATGAAGCTCCTGTCATTGCTCCTCTACCCTTGATGCCTGACCTTTTCCATCTCTTGTTACAGCCCTGGCCAGACCCCAGTAGCCTTTCCACATGCCTAACCTATGAGCCTTAACCTGATGGCCTTAACAACCTGGATTAGTCAGCTAGATTTCCTGGCTAGTCTTACTAATCATACCTGACCCACACAGCTCCCACCCACAGTTTACAAAACTGTTTTATGTTTTATTTGTATTATTATTATTTTTTAATCTAACAGGACTTAAAGACCTGGATTTACTGCCATAGGTTTTCTCCCCTAGTTATATCATCCTTCTGCCCTTTTTACATTGCTCTACCCCCAACTCCATGCCCCTACCCATGCCCCAGCCTAAGACCCAGCCCCAGCCTAAGACCCAGCCCCAGCCCAGCTGAAGCCCCCACCCCAGGCAGATAATTAGATATTTTGCATTACTGAGCTGGCCTTAACCACATGACCTTTTCAACCTGGATGACCAACATAACTTAACCACCCCGGCCTTCCCACCTATCCTCAACCTTTTATTTTAACTCATATGGCCATAACCTCCTGACCTAGTCTGTTTAGTATTAACATCTTGGCATTATCCAGGTGGAGTTAGCCACTAAGCTCTATCCAGGAAGGCCTTAATGTACTGGCCCAAACCACCCAGAGGTTTTAGTCACTTGGCTTTTTGATCTGGTGGTAACCTAAGGTTTTGCCAACTTAGATTTACCCTGGCCTTACTCGTCCAGTATAAATCTCCTGGCCTCATGCACCTTGCACACCCACCTGACCTTACCCTTGTGCTGTTAATGACCCAACCTTACCAACCAGAATCGCCCAGCTGATTGTATCTTCAAAGCTCACCAAGTTGGCCTTCACAATTAGTCTCAAGCTTCTAGTCTTCCTCAAGTGTCACAGCCTTACTGGCCTTAACCTGGTGTCATTCTGCTCTGTTCCAGCCTTTTGCTTTCTTTTCTTGGTCTTTGCCTGTTGGCCCTCCCAGTGTCTGTATTTACCCGACCTTACCCAGTAGGCCTTCTTCACTTGACCTCATTAAACTTAGGGCTATACTCACCTGCCCCCTTCATATGCTTGGCCTTAGCCAGCAAGACGTCATCAGCTGGTCTCATGCTTATCTGCTGTTTACCACCTAGTTTTATACAGCTGGTCTTAACCTCCTAGCCTTCCCTGCACTGTCTTATGCACCTAGTATTTTCCTCCAGTCTTCATTTGACTGGCCTGGCGACTTGGCCCTTCATGCTACTGGGTGTTTTCCCTATTGATTTCACAGCTTGGGGTTACTGAAATAGATTTTCATTGAGCTGGCTCTTGGTACCTGGTTTTAACAACCTGGCTGAAGTCAGCTGACCTTAGTAATCCGATTGCCTTCATCACCTTATTGTATCATGGCATGACAAAGTTGAAATTATCCATCGTGCCTTATTTACCTCCTAGCCCTTCTCGTCCAATCTTCATGACTTTTCCTGAAAGTCTGTTATACTCAACTGGCCATAACTTCCCGCCATTGTCCATATATTCATAGTCACCTGTTTTGTAATTTGCTAGCCTCAATCTCCCATCTAGAACCAGCTGATTTTACCCTCTAAGAAAGACTCACCCACCTTATGAAGCTCTTGTCATTGCTCCCTTGCCCTTGTTACAGTCCTGGCCAGACCCCGTTAGTCTTTCCCACGACATCTAACCCTATGTACCTTAACCTGATGGCCTTAAGAACCTGGATTAGCCAGCTAGATTTCCTGACTAGTCTTACTGATCATATGTGACCCACATGGCTGCCACCCTCATTTATTGAAACTGTCTTAAGTTTTATTAATTATTATTATTTAATCTAATAGGCTTTATAGACCTGGATTTACCTCCCCTGGTTTTGTCATCCCCCTGCTGTTTTCCCCTTGCTCTACCTCCAATTCCATGCCTCAGCCTAATCCCCAGCCGTAGACCAGCCCTAGCCCCAGCCCAGGCCTCAGCCCCATAATTAGACATCTTGTATTACCAAGCTAACATTAACCTCATGACCCAACCAACTTGGATGACCAACATGGCTTACCAACCTGGCTTTCCCACCTGTCGCCAACCTTTCATTCTAATTCCCATGGCCTTAACCTCCTGACGTAGTCTGTTTAGTATTAACGTCTTAGCATTTCCCAGGTGGAATTAGCCACCTAGCTCTATTTGGGAAGGCATTAATTTACTGTCCTAAGCCACACAGATTTTTCTATCACTAGGCTTTTTCATCCAGTCTAAACCTCACGGTTTTGCCAACTTAGATTTACCCACCTGCCCTAGCCTTACTCGTCCAGTTTGAATCTCCTGGCCTCATGCACCTAGCACATCTACCTGATCTTCCATGTGTGCCCTCACTGACCCATCCTTACCAACCTGAACTGCCCAGTTGATTGTACCTCCCCAGCTTACCCAGTTGGCCTTCACAATTAGTCTCAAGCTTCTAGTCTTCCTCAAGTGTCACAGCCCTACTGGCCTTAACCTGGTGTCATCCTGCTCTGTCCCAGCCTTTGGTTTTCCTTTCATGGTCTTCACCTGGTGGCCTTCTTGGTGGCTGTATTTTTCTGACCTTACCCAGTAGACCTTCTTCACCTGAACTAACCAAATTTAGGGCCATACACACCTTCCCTCTTCACATGCTTGGCCTTAGCCAGCAAGATGTCATCTCCTGGGCTCACTGATATCTGCTGTTTACCACCTCATTTTATCCAGCAGGCCTTTACTTACTCACATTCTCTTCACTGTCTTACCCACCTAGTATGTGTCCCCGGTCTTCATTTGACTGGCTTGGCCACTTACCCTTAATCCTACTGTGGGTTTGCCCTATTAATTTCACAGCTAGGGGTTACTGAAATTGTTTTTCAAAACAGGCTCTAGGCACCTGGCTTTAATAACCTGGAGAAACTCAGATTGCCTTCATCACCTTAGGATACTGTATTCCTCATAGTATGACTAATTTGAAATTATCCCTAATAATTTTAGGCCTCATTCACCTCCTGGCCCTTCTCATCCAGTCTTTATGATGTTGCCTAAAAGTCCTGACTGTACCCCAGTGTCGATAACTTCCCGCCATTTTCCAATTGTTCTTACTCACTGGTTTGTAATTTGCTGGCCTCAATATCCCATCGAGACCCAGATGATTTTACCCACTAAAATCAACTCACTTGCCTTATGAAGCTCCTGCCATTGCTCTGCTGCCCTTGCTCCCTGCCCTTGTCCACCTTATCTTACGGCCCTGGCCAGACCCCATTAGTGTTTCCTACCTGACCTATCCCTATGGGTCTTAACCTCATGGCCTAAACAACTTGGATTAGTCAGCTAGATTTCTTGACTAGTCTTACTGTTCATATGTGACCCAGTTGGCCCCCATACTTGGCTTATGAAACTATCCTGTTTTATTTATTATTATTATTATTTTAAATCTAACAAGCCTTAAAGACCTAGTTTTACCTCCTTAGCTTTTCTCCCTTGGTTTTATCATCCTCCTGCCCCTTGTCCCTCGCTCTACCCCTTAGTCTGTACCCCAATCCAATCTTCAGCCTAAGCCCCTGCCACATCCCCAGCCCAGCTGGTGCCCCAGCCCAGCCCCCAATAGTCCCAGCCCCAGCCCCAGCCCCAGCCCAGTCGAAGACCAGCCCCAGCCCCAGTCCCAGTTTTAGCACCTGCCCCAGCTCCAGCCCCAGCCCCATAATTAGACTTCTTGCATTATGGACCTGGCCTTATCCTAATGACCTTACCAACCTCGATGATCGACAGAGATGACCAATCTGGCCTGCTCACATGTCCTCAGCTTTTCATTCTAACTAACATGGTCTTATCCTCCTGGGCTAGTCTGCCTAGTTTTTATCCAGGTGGAGTTAGCTACCTAGCTCTATTCAAAAGGGCCTTAACTTACTGGCCTAAGCCACCCAGAGTTTTCAATCACTTGATTTTTGACCTAGTGTTAACCTCACAGTTTTGCCAACTTAGATTTATCCACCTGCCCTGGCCTTACTCATCCAGTATGAATCTCCTGGCCTAATGCACCTAGCACACTTAACTGACCTTAACATGGTTCTGTGAATGACCCATTCTTATCAACCCGAATCTCCCACCTCCCCACCTTACCGAGTCGCCTTCACAATTAGTCTCAAGCTTCTGGTATTCCTCAAGCATCACAGCCTTACTGGCCTAAAACTGGTGCCATTCTGCTCTGTTCCTGCTTTTGACTTTCCTTTCCTGGTCACTTGGTGGCCCTCCCACTGGCTGTATTTACCTGACCTTATCCAGTAGGCATTCTTCACGTGCCCTCATTAAACTTAGGGCCATACACACTTGCCCTCTCTTGATGCTTGCCTTAGCAAGAAAGACAACATCTGCTGGCCTCATACTTACCTGGTGTTTACTGCCTGGTTTTATCCAGCCAATGTTGACCATCTCGCCTTCCCTGCACTCTCTAACGCACCTAGTATTTGCCTCCAGTCTTCACATGACTGGCGTGACAACTTGCTCATCATACTGTGGGCTGTTTTACCTATTGGATTTCAGACCCTGGTGTTACTGAAATAGTTTTTCATTGAGCAATAGTGCCAAGTGCAATCAGGGTTTTCACAAAGGAGCAGTGTCCCACCAGAGCAGGAGACGGAGCAGTAGCATCTGGTGAAATTGTGGTGGTCACATAGAAGAAGCTTGCCCCTGGAGCACTAGATGGACCAGTAAGCAGCGTCTGGAGAAATTGTGGTTGTAACAGAGGAGCAGCGTGCCCCTGGAGCACTAGAGCACTAAACAGCATGTGGTGACACTGTGGTCATCACGGAGGAGCAGTAGATGGAGCAAGTAAGCAGCATCTGGTGAAACTGTGGTTGTTACAAAGGAGCAGCGTGCCCCGGAGCAGTAGATGGGGCAATACCATCTGGTGAAATTGTGGTTGTCACAGAGGAGCAGCAGGCGCCCGGAGCAGTAGATAGAGCACTAACTAGCATCTGGTGATATTTTGGTTGTCACAGAGGAGCAGTGTGTCCCTGAAGATATAAATGGAGCAGTAAGCAGCATCTGGCGAAATTTTTGTTGTCACAGAGGAGCAGCATGCCCCCGAGCACTATAAGGAGTAATAGCATATGGTGATATTGTGGTTTAAAAGAAGAGCAGCGTGACCCCGGAGCAGTGTATGGAGCGGGAGCATCTGGTGAAATTGTGGCTCTCACTTAGGGTCACCGTGTCCTTGGAGAAGTACATGGAGCAGTGGCATCTGGTGAAATTTTGGTTGTCACAGAGGAGCAGCGTGCTGATCGAGGGGTAAGCAGCATCTAGTGAAACTGTGGTTGTCACAGAGGAGCAGCATGTCCCCGGAGCAGTATAAGGAGCAGTAGCATCTGCTGATATTGTGGTTGTCAGAGAGGAGTTGCCTGCACCCAGAGCAGTAGATGGAGCACTAAGTAGCATCTGGTGATATTTTGGTTGTGACAGAGAAGCAGCGTGTCCCTGGAGAAATGGAACAGTAAGCAGCCTGGTGAAGTTTTCGTTTTCACAGAGGAGCAACGTGTTCCTGGAGATATAAATGGAGCAGTAAGCAGCATCTGGTGAAATTGTTGTCACAGAGGAGCAGCGTGCCCCCGGAGCACTATAAGGAGTAATAGCATACGGTGATATTGTGGTTTACAAAGAAGAGCAGCATGACCCCGGAGCAGTGTATGGAGCGGTAGCATCTGGTGAAATTCTGGCTGTCACATGGGGTCACTGTGTCCTTGGAGAAGTACGTGGAGCAGTGGCATCTGGTGAAATTGTGGTTGTCACAGAGGAGCAGCGTGCTGATGGAGCTGTGAGCAGCATTTGGTGAAATTGTGGTTGTCACAGAGGAGCAGTGTGCTGACGGAGATGTAAGCAGCATCTGGTAAAATTGTTGTCACAGAGAAGCAGCATGTCCCTGGAGCAGTATAAGGAGCAGTAGCATTTGATGATATTGTGGTTGTCATAGAGGAAGTGCATGCACCTGGAGAAGTAGATGAAGAAATAACCAGCATCTGGTGAAATTGTGGTTGTCGCAGAGGAACAGTGTGCTCCAGACACTTGATGGAGCACCAAGTAGCATCTGGTGATATTTTGGTTTTCACAGAGGAGCAGTATGTCCCCAGGGATACAAATGGAGCAGCAAGCAGCATATGGTGAAATTTTTGTTTTCACAGAGGAGCACCGTGGTCCCGGAGATATAGAAGGAGCAGTAAGCAGCATCTGGTCAAATTCTTGTTCTCACAGTGGAGCAGTGTGCCCCGGATCAGTGGAGGGAGAAGTAATCAGCGTCTCGTGGAATTTTCTTTGTCAGAGAGGAACAGCGTGTCCTGGAGCAGTATATGTAGCTTTAAGTAGCCTCTAGTGATATTTTGGTTTTCACAGAGAAGCAGCAGGTTCCTGGAGATATGGATGGAACAGTAAGCAGCATCTGGTCAAATTTTTGTTGTCTCAGAGGAGCAGAGTGCCCCCAGAGCAGTAGATGAAGCAGTAGCATCTGGTGAAATTGTGGTTGTCACAGAGAGGGAGCGTGTCCCCGGAGTAGAAGATGGAGCTGTAGCATTTGGTGAAATTATGCTGGTCACAGAGGAGCATCGTGTCCCTGGTGCACTATAAGGAGTAATAGCATCTGGTGATATTGTGGTTGACACAGAGGAGCAGCGTGCCCCTGCAGCAGTGTATGGAGAAGTAGCATCTAGTGAAATTGTGGCTGTCACATAGGGTCACCCTGTCCTTGGAGCAGGACATGGAGCAGTGGCATCTGGTGAAATTGTGGTTGTCACAGAGAAGCAGCGTGCTGATGGAGCTGTAAGCAGCATGTGGTGAAATTGTCGTCACAGAGGAGCGGTGTGTCCCCGGAGCAGTATAGGGAGCAGTAGCATCTGGTGATATTTTGGTTGTCACAGAGGAGTTTCCTGCACCCGAGGCAGTAGATGGAGCACTAAGTAGCATCTGGTGATATATTAGTTGTCACAGAGGAGCAATGTGTCCCTGGAGATATAAGTGGAGCAGTAAGCAGCATCTGGTGAAATTTTTGTTTCCACAGAGGAGCAGCCTGTTCCCAAAGATACAGATGGAGCAGTAAGACACATCTGGCGAAATTTCTGTTGTCAAAGAGGAGTAGCGTGCCCCCAGAGCAATATAAGGGTAATAGTATCTGGAAATATTGTGGCTCACAAAGAGGAGCAGTGTGCCCACGGAGCAGTGTATAGAGCAGTAGCATCTGGTGAAATTTTGGCTGTCACAGAGGGTTGTCGTTGTCACAGAACAGCAGCATGCTGATGGAGCTGTAAGCAGCATTTGGTGAAATTGTGATTGTCACAGAGGAGCTGCATGCACCTGGAGCAGTATAAGGAGCAGGAGCATCTGGTGATATTGTCGTTGTCACAGAGGAGCAGTATGTTCCTGGAGATATAAATGGAGCAGTAAGCAGCATCTGGTGAAATTGTGGTTGTCACAGAGGAGCAGTGTGTTCCCGGAGATATAGATGGAGCACTAAGCAGCATCTGGTGAAGTTTTTGTTTTCACAGAGGAGCAGCGTGTTCCTGGAGATATAAATGGAGCAGTAAGCAGCATCTGGTGAAACTGTGGTTGTCACAGAGGAGCAGCGTGTTCCCGGAGATATAGATGGAGCAGTAAGCCGCATGTCGTGGAATTTTTGTTTTCACAGAGGAGCAGCGTGTTCCTGGAGATGTAAATGGAGCAGTAAGCAGCATGTCGTGGAATTTTTGTTTTCACAGAGGAGCAGCGTGTTCCTGGAGATATAAATGGAGCAGCGAGCAGCCTCTGGTGAAATTTTTGTTGTCACAGAGGAGCAGCCTACCCCCGCAGCAGTATGAGGAGTAATAGCATATGGTGATATTGTGGTTTAAAAAGAGGAGCAGTGTATGGAGCTGTAGCATTTGTTGAAGTGACTGTCACATAGGGTCACTGTGTCCTTGGAGAATTACATGGAGCAGTGGCATCTGGTGAAATTGTCATTGTCACAAAGGAGCAGTGCGCCCCTGGAGCTGTATAAGGAGCAATAGCCTCTGGTGATATTGTGGTTGTCACAGAGGAGCAGTGTGCCCCAGAGCAGTAGCTGGAGCACTAAGTAGCATCTGTTGATATTTTGGTTGTCACAGAGGAGCAGTATGTCCCTGGAGATATAAATGGAGTAGTAAAGAGCATGTGGTGAAATTTTTGTTTTCACAGAGGAGCACCATTGTCCCGGAGATATAGATATAGATATAGAGATATAGATTTTGTAGTAAGCGGCATGCGGTGAAATTTTTGTTGTCGCAGTTGAGCAGCGTGCCCCCAGATCTGTGGATGGAGAAGTAATCAGCGTCTGGTGGAATTTTCATTGTCACAGAGGAGCAGCGTGTCCTGGAGCAGGATATGTAGCTTTATGTAGCATCTGGTGATATTTTGGTTTTCACAGAGAAGGATCATGTTCCCAGAGATATGGATGGAGCAGTAAGCAGCATCTGGTCAAATTTTTATTGTCACAGAGGAGCAGAGTGCCCCCGGAGCAGTAGATGGAGGAGTAGCATCTGGTGAAACTGTGGTTGTCACAGAGGAACAGTGTGCCCTTGGAGCAGGAGATGGAGCAGTAGCATCTGGTGAAATTGTGGTTGTCAGAGAAGGAGCGTGCCCCCAGAGCTGAATATGGAGCCTTGGCATACGTTGAAATTTTGCTGTCACAGAGGAGCATCATGTCCTCGGTGCACTATAAGGAGTTAATAGCATCGGTGATATTGTGGTTGACACAGAGGAGCAGCGTGCCCCTGGAGCAGTGTATGGAGAAGTAGCATCTAGTGAAATTGTGGCCGTCATAGAGGGTCACGCTGTCCTTGGAGCAGGACATGGAGCAGTGGCATCTGGTGAAATTGTGGCTGTCACAGAGGAGCAGCGTGCTCCTGGAGCAGTTTAAGGAGCAGTAGCATCTGGTGATATTGTCACTGTCACAGAAGAGTTTCCTGCATCCGGCGCAGTAGATGGAGCACTAAGTAGCATCTGGTGATATTTTGGTTGTCACAGAGGAGCAGTGTGTCCCTGGAGATATAAATGGAACAGTAAACGGTATCTTGTGAAGTTTTCGTTTTCACAGAGGCGCAGCGTGTTCCTGGAGATATAAATGGAGCAGTAAACAGCATCTGGTGAAATTTTTGTTTTCACAGAGGAGCAGTGTGTTCCGGAGATATAGATGGAGCAGTAAGCAGCATCTGGAGAAATTTTTGTTGTCACAGAGGTGCAGCATGCCCCCAGAGCAGTATAAGGAGTAATAGCATCTGGAAATATTGTGGTTGACAAAGAGGAGCAGTGTGCCCCCGCAGTAGCATATAGAGCAGTAGCATCTGATGAAATTGTGGCTGTTCCAGAGGGTCATCCTGTCCTTGGAGCAGTACATGGAGCAGTGGCATCTGGTGAAATTGTGGTTGTCACAGAGGAGCAGCATGCTGATGGAGGTATAAGCAACATCTGGTGTAATTGTGGTTGTCACAAAGGAGCTGCATGCCCCCGGAGCAGTATAAGGAACAGTAGCATCTGGTGATACTGTCATTGTCACAGAGAAGCAGTATGTCCCTGGAGATATAATGGAGCAGTAAGCAGTATCTGATGAAATTTTTGTTTTCTCAGAGGAGCACCATGGTCCCAGAGATATAGATGGAGGAGTAAGCAGCATCTGGTGAAATTTTTGTTGTCACAGTGGAGCAGCGTGCCCCCAGATCAGTGGACGGAGAATTAATCTGCATCTGGTGGAATTTTGGTTGTCACAGAGGAGCAGCGTGTCCTGGAGCGGTATATGTAGATTTAAATAGCATCTGGTGATATTTTGGTTTTCACGGAGGAGCAGCATGTTCCCAGAGATATAGAGAGAGTAGTAAGCAGCATTTGGTGACATTTTTGTTGTCACAGAGGAGCTGGGTGCCCCGGGAGCAGAAGATGGAGCCTTAGTATCTTGTCAAATTATGTTTGTCACGGAGGAGCAGAGTTCACCCTGAGCAGGAGATGGAGCAGTAGCATCTGGTGAAATTGTCATTATCACAGAGGAGGAGCATGTCCCCTCAGCAGAAGATGGAGCCACAGCATCTAGTGAAATTATGCTTGTCATAGAGGAGAAGCCCTTTCCTGGAGCAGTGTAAGGAGTAATAGCCTCTGGTGATACTGTGGTTGTCACAGAGGAGAAGCGTGCCCCCACAGCAGTGTATGAAGCAGTACCATCTGTGGAAATTGTGGTTTTCCCAGAGGCTCACCGTGTCCCTTGAGTAGTACATGAAGTTGTGGCAACTTGTGAAATTGTGGTTGTCACAGAGCAATAGCGTGCCCCTGGAGCAGAACATGGAGCCCTAGCATATGGTGCAATTATGCTTGTCACAGAGGAGCATCGTGTCCCCAGTGCACTATAAGGAGTAATAGCATCTGAGGATATTGTGGTTGACACAGAGGAGTGTGCCCCCGGTGCAGTGTATGGAGAAGTAGCATCTGGTGAAACTGGCTGTTACAGAGGGTCACTGTGTCGTTGGAGCAGTACATGGAGCAGTGGCCTCTGGTGAAATTGTGGTTGTCACAGAGGAGCAGCGTGCCCCGGAGCAGTAGATGGAGCACTAAGTACCATCTGGTGATATTTTGGTTGTCACAGTGGTGGTGTATGTCCCAGGAGATATAAATGGAGCAGTAAGCAGCATCTGGTGAAATTTTTGTTTTCACAGAGGAGCAGCATGTTCTCGGAGATATAGATGGAGCAGTAAGCAGCATCTGGTAGAATTTTTGTCACAGAGGAGCAGCATGCCCTCAGAGCAGTGGGCCCTCGGAGCAGTGGATGGAGAAGTAAGCAGCATCTGGTGGAATTTTGGTTGTCACAGATGAGCAGCGTGTTCCAGAGCACTATATGTAGCTTTAAGTAGCATCTGGTGATATTTTTGTTGTCACAGAAGTGCAGCATGCCCCCCAGAACAGTAGATAGAGCAATAGCATTTGGTGAAATTGCGGTTGTCACAGAGGAGCAGAGCATCCCTGGAGCAGCATAAGGAGCAATAGCATCTGGTCATATTGTGGTTGACACAGAGGAGCAGCATGTCCCCAGAGCAGTAGATGGAGCAGGAAATAGCATCTGGTGAAAGTGTGGTTGTCACAGAGGAGCAACGTGCCCCTGGAGCAGTAGATGGAGGAGTGTCATGTGGTGATATTGTGGTTGTCAGAGAGGAGCAATGTTCCCCTGGAGCAGTGTATGGAGCAGTAGCATCTGGTGAAATTGTGACTGTCACAGCAGCATGCCCCAGGAGCAGTAGATGGAGCAGTGGCATCTGGTGAAATTGTGGTTATCACAGAGGAGCAGCATGCCCCCAGAACAGTAGATGGAGCAGCAGCATCTGGTGAAATTGTGGTTGTCACAGAGGAGCAGCATGCCCTGGAGCAGTCGATGGATCACTAAGCAGCATCTGGTGACATTGTGGTTGTCACATAGGAGCAGCATGCCTCCGGAGCAGAAGATGGAGTAGTAAATAGCATCTGCTGAAAGTGTGGCTGTCCTAGAGGAGCAGCTTGCCCTCAGAGCAGTAGATGGAGCACTAAGCCGCATCTGGTTATATTGTGGTTGTCACAGAGGAGCAGCATGCCCCTGGAACAGCAGATGTAGCAGTGCCATCTGGTGAGATTGTGGTTCTCACAGAGAAGTAGCATGCTTCTGAGCAGTAGATGGAGCCATGGCATCTGGTGAAATTGTAGTTGTCATAGAGGAGCAGTGTGCCCCCGGAGCAGTAGATGCAGCAGTGGCATCTGGCGAAGTTGTGGCTTCATAGAGGAGCAGCATGCCCCCAGAGTAGTAGATGGAGCAGTGGCATCTGATGAAATTGTGGTTCTTACAGATGAGGAGCCTCCCTCTGGAGCAGTAGATGGAGCAGTAGCATCAGTGCAATCCAGGTTTTTCCGCCAGAACAGCATCCCTCTGGAGCAGCTGGTGGAGCAGTAGGAATGGTACCTGTCATCATACAGGAAGAGTACATCTAGGTATTTATCCTGACACCCGGCACACATCTTTCCCTTGAAGAGAGGATGCTGTGTGTGAACCTTAATGACCTGCATTAGCCTGCTATATTTCCCAACTTGTCTTTCTGATCATAGGTGACCCACATAGTCCCCATCCTTAGTTTATGAAACTGTCCCCCTTTTTATTTATTATTATTATTTTTTAATCTAACAGGCCTTAACGTCCTAGATTTACCTCCTTAGGTTTTCCTCTGGGTTTATCATACCCCTCTACTTTTTACCTTCCTCTACACCCAACTCCATACCCCAGACCAATCCCCAGCCAACATCCCAGTGAAGCCTCAACCAAGCCCTAGCCTAACGGAAGCCTTGGCCTCAGGCGGAGTCCCAGCCTGTGGCAAGCCCTGCTTTAGCCCTAGCCCCAAGCACATAATTAGACATCTTGCATTACTGAGCTGGCCTTAACCTCATGACCTTTTCAACCTGGATGACAATCATAGTTTGCCAACCTGGCCTTCCCACCAGTCCTCAACCTTTTATTTTAACTCACATGGCCTTAACCTCTTGACTAGTATTAACATCTTGGCATCACCCAGGTGGAGTTAGCCACCTAGCTCTATTCAGGAAGGGCTTTACTTACTCAGCCACTCAGAGTTTTCAGCAACTTGGCTTTTCGACTGGTCTTAACCTCACACTTTTGCCAACTTAGATTTACCTACCTTCCCTGGCCTTACCACCTAGTTTTCTGCAGCTGTGTTCACCAGTAGCAGCTGGTGAAACTGTGGTTGTCACAGAGGAGCAGCGTTCCCCTGGAGCAGTAGATGGAGCAGTAGCATCTGGTGAAATTGTGGTTGTCACAGAGGAGCAGCGTGTCCCTGGATCAGTAGATGGAGAAGTAGCATCTGGTAAAATTGTGGTTGTCACAGAGGAACAGCATCTCTCTGGAGCATTAGATGGAGCAGTAGCATCTGTTGAAATTGTGGTTGTCACAGAGCAACAGCGTGCCTCCAGAGCAGTAGATGGAAGCAGTAGGATCTGGTAAAATTTTGGTTGTTACAGAGGAGCAGTCTGCCTCCAGAACAGTAGGTGGAGCAGTAGCATCGGGTGCAATCCTGGTTTTTTCCAGAGAAGAAGCATCCCATCGGAGCAGCTGGTGGAGCAGTAGGAGTGGTACCCATCATCGTTGTGCAGGAAGAGGGCATCCAGGTACTTGTCCTTACACCGGGCCCACATCCCTCCCTCAAACAGAGGATGCTGCATGTGAACCTTAATAACCTGCATTAGTCTGCTAGATTTCCTAATTTGTCTTTTCGATCATAGGTGACCCACATAGTCCCCCATCCTTAGTTTACGATACTGTCCCAAGTTTTATTGTTATTACTATTTTTTTTTAACCTAACAGCCTTTAAAGTTCTAGATTTATCTCCTTAGGTTTTGTCCCCTGGGTTTATCATACCTCTCCACTTTTTCCCTCCCTCTACACCCAACTCCATACCCCAGACCAATCCCCAGCCCAAATCCCAGAGAAGCCACAGCCAGGCCCTAGCCTAACTGGTGTCACACACCCGGCCTTTTCAATTGCTGGGCTTCCTGACCTGGTCTTAATCTCAGTGTCTAGCCAAATCAGATTCCCCCAGTTGCTTTAGGAACCTTCTGGCCTTACTCATTTAGTATCAATGCTTGGAACTTACGCACCTGGCTTACCTACCCTGCCTTACCCTCATGTCCTTACCAGGCTTTTCACTCTTTTTCTCTTTTCTTGCCTTCTCTTATTTCATTGAGTTGATCTTCAATCTCTGATATCCTTTCTTCTGCTTGGTCAATTTGGCTATTGAAACTTGTGTATGCTTTGGGAAGTTCTCGTGCTGTGTTTTTCAGCTCTATCAAGTCATTTATGTTCTTCTCTAGGCTGGTTATTCTAGTTAGCATTTCATCTGACATTTTTTTCAAGGTTCTTAGTTTGTTTGCATTGGGTTAGAACATGTTCTTTTAGCTCAGAGAAGTTTGTTATTACCCACTTTCTGAAGTCTGCTTCTGTCAATTTCAGACTCATTCTCCATTCAGCTTTGTTTCCTTGCTGGTGAGGAGTTGTGATCCCTTGGAGGAGGAGAGATGTTCTGGTTTTTGGTGTTTTCATCATTTTTGCACTGGTTTCTTCCCATCTTCATAGATTTATCTACCTATCATCTTTGTAGTTGGTAACTTTTGCATGAGGTCTCTGAGTGGGCGTGTTTCTTGTTGATGTTGAAAGTATTTGTTTTTCACTTTTCCTTCTAACAGGCCCCTCTGCCGCAGGACTGCTGCAGGTCCACTCCAGACCCTGCTTACCTGGGAATCACCTGCGGGCGCTGCAGAACAGTAATGGTTGCTGCTGGTTTCTTCTTCTGTTATCTTCATCCCAGAAGGGTACCTGCCAGATGTCAGCCAGAGCTCTCCTCTTGAACGTACCTCTGGATATTCGGGGGTTGTGGAGCTGCTTGAGTAGACAGCCTGTCCCTTATCAGAGCTCAAGTGCTGTGTTAGGTGTTCTGTTATTCCTTTCAGTGCTGCTGGGTAAATGCGTTTAAGTTTGCTGCAGTGGAACTTACAACTGCCTCTTTTCCCTGGTGCTCTGTCCTGGGAAGGTCAGGCTTTATTTATAAGTTTGTGATGCCCTGCCCAGCAAGGAGGCAGTCTAGTCACAGTCTGCCAGCAGAGGCATTGCTGAAAACTGTGGGCTCTGCCCAGCTGCTATGTAAATTTCCTTGCGGTTTTGTTTACAGAGGTACAGTTAGAACTGCCTCAGTAATCTGCCAGTTTCTTTATTCAGTCTATCATTGATGGACATTTGGGTTGGTTCCAAGTCTGCTACTGTGAACAGTTCCACAATAAATTTATGTGTAAATGCATCTTTAATATAAGTATTTATGATCCTTTGGGTATATACCCAGTAATGGGATGGCTGGGTCAAATGGTATTTCTACTTGTAGATCCTTGAGGAATCAACACACTGTCTTGCACAATGGTTGAACTAATTTACACTCCCACCAACTGTGTAAAAGTGTTCCTATTTTTCCACATCTTCTCCAGCATCTGTTGTCTACTGATTTTTTAATGATCGCCAATCTAAATGGCGTGAGATTGTATATAAATGTGGATTTGATTTGCATTTCTCTAAAGATTAGTGATGATGAGCTTTTTTTCATACGTTTGTTTGCTGAAGAAATATCTTCTTTTTAGAATTGTGTGTTCCCCTCTGTCACCTAGTTTTTGATAGGGTTGTTATTTTTTTGGTGTTGTTGTTTTGTTTTGTTTCGTTTTCGTAAATTTGTTTAACTTCTTTGTAGATTCTGGCTATTAGCCATTTGTCAGATGGGAAGATTGCAAAAATTTTTTCTGCTCTACTGGTTGCTGGTTCACTCCAATGATAGCTTTTTTTCGCTGTGCATGTGCTGTTTAATTTAATTAGATCCCGTTTGTTTATTTTGGCTTTTGTTGCCATTGGTTTTTTGTGGTTTGGTCATGAATTCCTTGCCCACGCCTATGTCATAAATGATTTCTTTCAGGGTTTTTATGGTCTTAGGTCTTATGTTTGAATCTTTAATAAATCTGGAGTTAATTTTTGTATTAGGTGTAAGGAAGGGATGTGATTTCAGCTTTCTGCTTATGGCTAGCTAGTTTTCACAACACATTTTTAAAAGAGGAAATCTTTTCACCATTGCTGGCTTTCATTAGGTATGTCAAAGCTCAGATGGTTGTAGATTTTTATATTTTCTATGTGAATTAAAAGGAAGGTGATCAGATGAGAGTCAGGAAGCAGTGTAGAGTTTTGACATTTCCTTAAGAAAGGGGTGAAAAACAGTTTTTAGGAATAAAATATGAATTGACTAAAGAAACGTATACAATCAGTAGGCAGCACTAACAGAACAGCTTTGTTTTGTTTTTTATAAATTTAAAATGGCCAGTATAATTTTCTGTGTTTTTCTTCATGTACACAAAGTTATGTCGGCACAGGAGTAGAATAAGTGGCTTCTTAGAATTAGGATTTTTCCATGTGAGATGGAATGAAGGCAAGAGAAGTGAGCTAAAACCACAATTTTTTTATCTTAGAAAGTATGGTTAAAATAATCAATTACGGAATCCAAGTTTTAGGCAAGGGGGAGGAGGTTAGGAGAAAAAGCTATGGGAGCACTTTGGGCCAAACAACAAATCAGATGTAAGAAATCAAAGATCAATCACTCCAGCAGAAGTTTAAAGGAGCTCCTTTCATAGGACCGAAAACTTGAATAGGGCAGGAATAACTCCCAGGTTAAATGTCCCCTTCTGCCACATCTAGGCGGATTCCATTTCTGGATCCCCTCCCCCAACAGCATGAGAGCTCGCTCTCTCTCTCTCTCCTTATCTATTTCTTTCTCCTTTTTCTCTCTCTCTCTGCCTAAATAAATTATTTTCTGCAAAACTCTTTGGGGTCCAATATTTAGTTAAAGGAGTTCACTGCACCTGATGGTGTCCTCTCCCCTATTGTTGGGTGAGTGAGTGACCAAGGGCCTGGAAGAACACAACCTTTTGGGGAACGACCTGAGCCTGTCGTCTGCAATTTGGTCACAATATGGCTGAACAGATAGGCAAAGAGTTGGTCATAAGACTGTGCCATTGCATGCTAAGGGGTTAGGATATGAGTATAAGCTCCAGAGCAGTAAGAGTCGGTAGAAATCAAGAAGTCTGGAGTCATTCAGGTGTCCCTTGGAGAGGGATCATTTCCCTAATCAAAAGTACCACGAGAAAAAGTTGAAAGACAAGAAATGTCACATTCTCTGGTTTGCTGTTGTTCAATTCCCCCTCCTTTTTTTCAGTTCTTCCTCATTATCTTCTTACCCTCCCCTGTACCAAATGTAACTTATTCCAAAACTTTCATGCAGCTTTATTTATTAATGTGTCTTCCACACCTAATAATATCTTCAGCATAGTATATGTGCAATAAATGTTCGTTAAATAAATAAAACATGTAATGTATAATTTTATAAGAAGGAATCTTAAAATCTTAGAGAAATAAATTTTCTTGAAAAAAAAATATATATATTTACACATGAAGTATATGCAAAAATACATAATAATGTAATCACATCAATCAATAAAGAAAATTTTCACAAGAAGTAGAGGGAAGGTGGGAAAGAAGAGGGATGCTAGGAATGAAAGAAGATGGAAGGTGAGGAAAGTGGAAAAGAAAAAGAGGGACAGTGGGGAAAGAGGAAAGAAGAAGAGGGATGGTGGGAGAAGAAGAAGAGGGAAGTTTGGGGAACAAGAAGAGGGAAGGTGAGGCAAGAAGAAGACGGAAGGTGGGAAATGGAAAAGAAGAAGAGAGAAGGTGGGGAAAAAGAATAGGGGAGGTGGGGAAAGTGGAAAGAAGATGGGGAAAGAAAAAGAGGGAACTTGGGGAAAGAAGAAAAGTGAAGGTGGGAGAAGAAGAGGGAAGGTGGGAGAAGATCAAGAAAGAAGGTGGGGGAAAAAGAAGAAGAAAGGTGGAGAAAGCGGAAGGGTGAGGAAATAATGGGGAAACACCAGGTACAGTGGCTCACACCTGTAATTCCAGCATTTTGTAAGGCCAAGGCAGGTGGATTTCCTGAGGTCAGGAGTTTGAGACCAGCCTGGCCAGCGTGGTGAAAACCCATCTGTACTAAAAATACAAAAATTAGTCCGGCATGGTGGCAGGCAGGTGTAATCCCAGCTGCTCTGGAAACATAGCCAGGAGAATTGCTTGAACCTGGGAAGCGGAGGTTGCAGGTTTCAGTGAGCCAAGATTGCACCATTGCACTTAAAAAAAAGAAGGTGGGGACCGAAGAAGAGGGAAGGTGCTAGAAGAAGCAAAAGAAATGCAACACCCATTCATAATTTAAAAAAAAAAATACTCAGAAAACTCAGAATAGAAGGGTGTTTACCCAACTCAATGGAAAAAATCTGCAGATTCTTGATGGTGAGAAAATAGATGCTTTCCCTCTAAGATCAGGAACAAGGAAAGGATGTCCTCTCACTACTCCTATGTGACATTACAGTAAACCTCCTACCTAATGTAAGACAAGAAAGGAAAATAAAAGGTATTCATAGTAGAAAGAAATAAATCTGTCTTTGTAGATGATATGATTTTTATGTAAAAAATACCTAAGAATAAACAAAAACCTCCTGTAATTAATAAGCAATTTTAGCAAGTCTACAGGGTAAAAGGTCAATTTCTTTCTTAACGCCAGCAAAGAACAATTGGAATTTGAAATTTAAAACATAATACCATTTGTATTTGCCTCAAAAAATAATAAAAAAATAAATATTTAGGCATAAATCTAACAAAATGTGTATAGGCTCTATGAAGTAAGCTAGCAAACCTCTGATAAAGAAATTAAAATCTAAATAAATAGAGAAATATTCCATATTCCCAGAAAATGTCAGTATTGTTCCAATGTCAATTCTTCCCAACTTTATTTGTAGATTCAATGAGATCTCAATCAAAATCTGAGGATGTCATTTTTTGGATGACAATAAATTACTTCTGAATTTTAAATGAAAAAGTAAAAGACCTAGAATAATCCATAGAACATTCAATAATGAAGTTGGAGGACTGATATTACCAGACTTCAAGACTTACAACAAAGCTACAGTAAACAAGACAGCATGGTATTGGCAAAAGAATAGACAAATAGACCAATGGAATAGAATGGAGAGCCCCAAAATAGATCCATGTAAAATACAGACAACTGATATTTGACAAAGGAGGAAAGGCAATTTAATGGAGAAAAGAGTCTTCAATATATGGTGCTAGAACAACCGGAAATACAAATAGAAAAAATGACACATGCCTTATATCTTTTATAAAAATTAACTTAAAATGGATCTTAAATTGTAAATGTAAAATGTAAAACTATAGGACATCTACTGGATAACTTGAGACTGTAGGTGACTTTGAGTTTGGTGATGATACAACACCAAAAGCATAATCCATGGGGAGGGGGTAAACTTAGCAAGCTGGACTTGATTACAATGAAAAACTTCTGCTCTGCAAAAGGCACTGTTAAGATTAAAAAAACGAAGCACAGACGGGGAGAAAATATTTGCAGAATACCTATTTGATAAAGGTCTGTTACCTAAAATACACAAGGAACTCTTCTAAAGGAAATTTAAATTTAAATTATTCAGAATTGGGTGAAAGATCTGAACAGACACCTCACCAAAGAAGATATACAGATGGTTAATAAATATATGAAAAGATGTTCAACATCATATCCTATTAGGGAATTGCAAATTAAAGCAACAATCAGATACTACCACACACATATTAGAATGGCAAAAATCCAAAACTAAGACATCATCAACTGCTGGCAAGGATATAGAACAATAGGAACTCGAATTTATTACTGGTGATAATGCAACATGGTACAACCACTTTAGAAGACAGTTAAGCAGTTTCTCACATAGCTAAACATAGATTGACTATACTATCCAGCAATCATGCTGCTAGATATTTACCCAAATCAGTGAAAATGTATGTCCACAAAAAAAATTGCATATGAATGTTTATATCAACTTTAGTTATAATTCCCAAAACTTGAAAGCAACCAAGATGCCCTCGAGTAGATAAATGGGTGTACTATGGTACATTCATACAATTGAGTATTATTCAGTGATAAAATGAATTAAGCAATCAAGCCTTGATAAGACATGGAGTAACGTTAAATGCAGATTGCTAAGTGAAAGAAACCAGTCTGAAAAGGCTACATACTACACATTCCAGCAATATGACATTTTGAAAGAGGTAAAACTATAGAAACAGTAAAAGAAAATCAGTGGATGTCATGTCATGGGTGAGGTTTGGAAGGGTCAAAGAAGGATTAATATATAGAACAGAGGGAACAATTTCAGGCAGAGAAGCTGATACTGTAATGGTGGATATGCGGCAGTATGCATTTGTCAAACCGTGGAACTGTATAACAGAAAGAGTAAACCTCAATGTAAACTGTGGACTTTAGTTAATGATAATGTCTCAATATTGGTTCATCAAATGTAATAAACATGGTAATAACAGGGGAACTGCTGAGAGGTGGGAAGTTGGAGGAGGATGATATGAGTATATAAAACTCTGTATCTGCTCAATGTATCTGTACAACTAAAATTATGCCAAAAAATAAAGGAGTGTATGTGTATTCACATATTTCCAAATTTGACTCAAGAAAAAGTAATGGAATTTGTCAACTTCTAGAAAAAAACATTTAAAAGTTGTTAATCACAGAAAAGCACACAATCAAGTTTTTTAGGCAATTGCTTTTACGGTTTTGGTATAGACTGAAAATTTGTGTGCACATCAAAATTCGTATGTTCATGTCCTGTCAATTTTATAGTATGAAGTGGTAGGCCCGTTGGGAGATAATTAGGTCATGAAGGTAGATACCTCATGAATGAGATTAGTGCCCATATAATAGAGACCCTAGAGTGCACTTTTTTTTGGGGGGGCGACAAGGTCTCATTCTGTCACTTGGGCTGGAGTGCAGTGGCATAATTTTGGCTCACTGCAACTTCAACCTCAAGGGCTTAGGTGATCTTTTCGCTTTAGCCTCCTGACTAACTGGGACTACAGGTGTGGGCCACCATGTGCAGGTAATTTTTGTGAGTTTTTTTTCGTAGAGATTGGATTTTGCCTGTTGCCCAGGCTGGTCTTGAACTCTTGGGTTCAGACAATACACTTGCCTCGGCCTCCCAAAGTGCTAGTAATAGAGGCATGAGCCACTGTGCTTTAGATCCCTCATCTCTTTTGCCATGTGATGATGAATGAGAAGATGAGGTCTATGAGTCATGAAGTGACCCCTCACGCAACACCAAATCTACCTTCATCTTAGACGTCTCAAACTCCAGAATTATGGGAAATAAATTTTTTGTTGTTTATATGACACCCAGTCTATGGTATTGTTAAAGCATCCCAGACTAAGACAAGCTTTCAAGGAACAGACATTTCCTATGCTATACAATCTCTACAGAGCATAGGAACTGATGGAATGTTTCCCAGTTAACTCAGGTCTTTAAAAAAAAAAAAAAAAAAAAAAAGGTCTCTTTGCAGATTGCATCAACAGCTGACACTGCTTCCTAATGATGTACGTATCTCTCACATAGCTGGTCTCTAGAAGTTGTTTTAAATACAGTCATTAAATTAAAAATCCTCATTAATCAGGATTCTTGAGGGGTGAAGATGAGCCTCAATTATGAAATTTGGATTTTGTATGAAAATATCTCTGTATACTTGTCCTGCCCTGGGTCTTTACCTGTTGTATTTCCCTACACGAGCAAAATTCCCAGAAGGATCCAGAGTGTACAAAACACCACATAGTCCAAGCCTAAAAAAGACCATTCTTCTGAATTCCTTGGCCTTCATAGGCAAGGAAACCAAAGAACTGGCAGGACTACTAGATTTTACGCCCCATCCACATGCTTGTACTGTAGATTATCCACAAGAGTAGGGGCTGGTGCTGGACAGGAAGCTGTATTAGGGGACAGATTATTGCTATCAGCAATACAGAGAAAACAGACATTCAGGAAGGGGACAGGGAGGTGATGACTGGAAGAGCAAGTTCCTGGATCTCCTCTGGCCTGGGCTTCTTAATGTGCTGGGGTAGTGTTCCCCAACCTTTTTGGCACCAGGGCACTGGTTTCGTGGAAGACGGAAGGGGCGGGTGGCGGGTTTGGGGGTGGTTTCGGGATGAAATTCTTCCACCTCAGATTATTAAGCAGGAGTTAGCGTCTCATAGGGAGCATGCAACCTAGAGTCTTCATGTGTACAGTTCATAGTAGGGTTCTTGCTCCTTTGAGAATTTAATGTGGCAGCTGTTCTGACAGGCAGAGCTCAGTCAGAAATGCTCCATCTCCCCCTGCTCACCTGGTGAGTTCACCTCCTGTAGTTGAGGGCCCTTGTCCTGGGGCATGGATGCAGCAGTCTTCAGCTGTATTTTTTCCTTCCTGGCAGACTTTTCATAGGTGCCAAGCTATGTCAGTAGGGCTCAATCTCATGTCTCTCTGAAGTGCCAGAACACCACTAGGGACAAAAAAAAAAAAACAACAACCAGAGCTTGATTAGTGGTCACAACCAGGGTCCAGGGTACCTAAAACACAATAGGGACATCTGTCCCTTCAGAGACTTGTTCAAAATTGAAGAAGCTCAAGTTTATTGTAAGGCACTTGCCAGTGTCGTCTGTTTCTAGGAGTCACTGGAACCACCGCCCTTGGGAACAGGGGCAGCCAGAAGAGTTTTGGAGAGGAGATTTGAACCATAAAAGAGCATAATTACAAAGCAATTTTTGGGAAAAAGAGGAGATAATGGATTAGAGGGCCCTGGAGCTCAGAACTAAAGGCAGAGTGGGAGGAATCAACTTATGGTGAGATAATAAACTGCAGTCTCTTGAGAATAGAACCCAAATTGCCTTACACGTGCTGAGACCACCCTTATATTCTCTGTAACTCCTTAACCTTCCCTGTGTCCCTGAACTCATCTCTATTTTAATTTCCATTTCCTGCAGTAGAATTCATTAGTTTTACGCTTGCAAAATAGTCAGACAGTTGTCTGTGGGGTCATCATGACTGCCTTTGAACAGAGTTCACCACCCTCACCAGGGACAATGTAGCTGTATTCAGTGAGGGCCACAGAGATTTACTTACCAAGCAGCACCTCACTCATGCTGGCTATCTCTAGCAGAGCAGCACATTTTTGTTCCTACACCCAGGTTGGCACTTTAAAGTTGGATTATGGACCACCCCAGCTCCATAACACTTCCCCTGATTGAACTCAAATGCCCAAATTCATATCAGACATCATATTAGATATCACAATTTGGCGGCCCTGCCAGAAACTAAGAGACTTGTAGATACTTACGGAATGTTAACTTCATGCTGCTAGGCATCAATCCCTTACATGTCGATTATGCTTTTTATCCTCAGTAAAGTGGTGGAGCCAGGATTTGTATTCAGATATTCTGACATGTAAACACTACACTGCACTGCCTGGTGTCCTGCTCACTGCCAACGGGGTGCCTTTACCTCTCCAGACATTTGAATCTGCTGTGATCTTTTCTTCCTTACCTCTTTTTGATTTGCAATGGGAATGCTCCAAAGAGGAATTATTATTGTCCAGGGAAGCAAGCTCAGCATTTGCGAGTTAGAGGGTTCTGACAGCTACTTAGTGGCAGCATTAGGACTATAGCTACTGGAAGCAAGGTGACAACTAATTCCTCCGTGAATTATCTCTGAAAATGGGGAAAGCAGTTCATGGGTCAGCCACTGTTAAAGTACCTTTACAGAGTATAGGACACATAAGTAGTTCTCTATTGGACATAATAAAGAAGAAAATGTTTTTATTTTTAAGATGTTTGCAATTCAATTATAGATATTATATATATGCATATATATGTATACACACACACACACACACACACACACACACACACACTGCCTTAAAATAACTTCTAAGCCGTATACAGGTAAGTTCATAAGAAAAACACACAGTACAGAAGCTCAAGGCATTACAGACCGAAGAATTAGAGTATTAATGTGTTTAAAAGAATTGCCCCTTAGAAACTACTTTGGAGTAATGTTTTGGAAGAGGGTGAACTTATGGGGGTGGGGGTGGAGTGGGGCAGAGCAGATGTGGCAGGAAGTGCATCAAATGTAGAGGAATGGCGTATGCAAAGGAATTAGGCTTTTTGTCCCTCTTTTCATAATTGTAAGGCCCATTTTGATGGTCTGAGCTTGTCTTAAGGGAGCATATTTCCAGAATAGATATTTCCTCAACTACCTCTAATCGAAGCAAGTTCAAAATGACTCCGCTTCAATATTATGATTCTAAACAAGCTAAGACCTATTTGGGAGGTTTATGAATTCTGGCACAGCCTCAACTGAGAAGTCCCTTGAGAGACTTGCTCAAAATTGAGCAAGCTCAAGTTTACTTTAAGGCACTTATCAGGGATAAAGAAAAATTCGTATCAGTGTACAAAAATCACAAGCATTCATATATACCAATAACAGACAGAGAGCCAAAACATGAGTGAACTCTCATTCACGATTGCTACACAGAGAATAAAATACCTAGCAATACAAGTAACAAAGGACATGAAGGATCTCTTCAAGGACAACTACAAAGCACTGCTCAAGGAAATAAGAGAGGACACAAACAGATGGAAAAACATTCCATGCTCAAAGTTAGGAAAAATCAATATCGTGAAAATGGCCATACTACCCAAAGTAATTCATAAATTCAATGCTATCCACATCAAGCTACCATTGACCTTCTTCACAGAAATGGAAAAAATCACCTTAAACTTAATATGGAACGAAAAAAGGGCCCACATAGCCAAGACAATCGTAATAACTGGTACCAAAACAGAGATATAGACCAATGGAACAGAGCAGAGTCCTCGGAAGTAATGCCACACATCTACAACCATCTGATCTTTGACAAATCTGACAAAAAAATGCAAAGGGGAACGGATTCCCTGTTTGATAAATTGTGTTTGGAAAACTGGCTAGCCATGTGCAAAAAGCTGAAACTGGACCCCTTCCCTATACCTTATACAAAAATTAACTCCAGATGGATTAAAGATTTAAACATAAGACCTAAGACCATGAAAACTCTAGAAGAAAACCTAGGCCATACCATTGAGAACATAGGAATAGGCAAGGACTTCATGACTAAAGCACCAAAAGCAATGGTAATAGAAGTCAAAGTAGACAAATGGGATCTAATTAAACTTAAGAGCTTCTGCAGAGCAAAAGAAACAATCAATAGAGTCAACTGGAAAAAAATTTTCCAAGCTACCCATCTGACAATGGGCTAGTATCCAGAATCTACAATGAACTAAAACAAATTTACAGGAAAAACAACAACCCCATCAAAAAGTGGGCGAAGGATGTGAAGAGACACATTTCAAAAGAAGACATTTATGAGGCCAACATATTAAAAAATGCTCATCACTGGTCATTAGAGAAATGGAAATCAAAACCACCTTGAGATACCATCTCACATCAGTTTGAATGGCAATCATTAAAAAATCTGGAGACAACAGATGCTGGAGAGGATATGGAGACATAGGAACACTTTTACACTGTTAGTGGGAGTGTAAATTAGTTCAACCATTGTGGAAGACAGTGTGGCAATTCCTCAAGGATACAGAAATAAAAATACCATTTGACCTAGTAATCCCATAACTGGGTATATACCCAAAGGATTATAAATCATTCCATTATAAAGACACATGCATATGTATGGTCATTGCGGCACTGTTTACAATAGCAAAGACCTGGAACCAACCCAAATGCCCATCAATGATAGACTGCATAAAGAAAACGTGGCACATATACATCATGGAATACTATGCAGCTATAAGAAAGGATGAGTTCATATCTTTTGCAGGGATATGGATCAATCTGGAAACCATCATTTTCAGCAAAGTGACACCAGAACAGAAAACCAAACAGTGCATGTTCTCACTGAATAATGAGAACACATGGACACATGGAGGGGAACATCACACACTGGGGTTGGTTAAGGAGTGCGGACTAGGGGAGGGATAGCAGGGGTGGGGAGATTGGGGATGGATAACATTAGGAGAAATACCTAATGTAGGTGATGGGGGGATGAAGGCAGCAAACCACCATTGCATGTGTACACCTATGCCACAATCCTGCTAGATTTGCACATGTACCCCAGAACTTAAAGTATATATATATATAATATATATATAAGATTCCTGTCACACAATAGGGAAAATCTACAGCCAACAAAAGGGCCTCCAAAAGTAGGTGATGGAACCATTTAGCAAAGCATTCTCCTGCAGAACCCGGCACTATTTGCTGTTTCAATTCTCTATTTCTTTCTAATCAGGTCCAGAGTCGAACTAATGATTCCATCCTTTGTTTTTTGGAGACAGGCTGTGAAGTTGGAAAAGTCAGGTGCTTTAAGCACATAGGCAGCATGACGGTGGCACTTCAAAACAAAAGTTTTGTGAATCATGGGTATCTCCTCTGGAAAACGTGGAGGTACCTGGTCAGTCTCTGGTACCCTCTTCTTGACCAGGTCTACCTGCAGAATGCAGCTGCAGCAGATATAGACTGGGTCCATTAGTGCTCACAACAGAGGAACTGCTGCTCTGTGAATTGTGTGGGCTCTGTTACAGTGTTCAAAGAAGCCAATGTGATATTAGGTAGATTTCAGACCTTTGTCTTCATGTCACATTTGATAGCCATCCCTCATGCCAACTGACTCCTAGAAACAGATGCCAGAGGAGGCTTTCTAGGAGAATTTGGGTTTTTGTTCTCCTGACTTTCTTCCCTGGAATGTTGGCTCTCCTAATTAGGCACTAGACTTGTAGAGAACTTGGCCAACTTTAGGGAAACTGAGGCAAGGTCCGATTATTTTTGTTTCATCCTCTTGAACTTCTCAAAACTTAGAATGTGCAGAAGCCCTTGATGTGTATTTTCCTGCCCAGATCTAGGCCTTTGGTCTCTGCAGGTCCCTGTATGTAGTCCATTTCTGAGATGCAGGTGATTGAAATTCAGAGGTCTGTTCTGTCTGTGGAGCTGCAGGCAAGGTGCTTCCTTGCCTCCTGCTTGATTAACTTTGGAATGGGGAGTCAGCATGGTAGGTTGAGCCTTAGAAAGTCTGAAGGTGTAGAATAAATAGATGTTGTGGTTCCAGGTTTCTAAGTGACATCTGAGATTCCTGCCCCTGCCTTGGTATTAGGCCTCAATGCTTGTCTTTCAGCTCTCACTGAGCATCCTCAAGCAGCACTATAGTTTGCCCAAAAGTTGAGAGAGTTGAGCAGGAACGCTGGCACATTGGGAGCAGGAGAGCTAAAGGAGCCAGCCATTCTTGCATGAAGAATGTCAAGGATTGCCTCCCAAGCATGGTTTCTGGTTGGGAGCTCCTTTTCCGGTAGATGAAGAAATCCCTGTTAAAATTTCATGTCTACAGGAGCTGGAAATGTGAGCTATTTCACTAAAGGGCCTAGAGTTGGCTAGGTTCAAAGTTCATGGCATCTGCTAAATCCAAGTCTTCCTCGATAGAATCAGCAGACTCTGGGTCCCTTATGGAGCTTAAGGAGCCAGGAATGAAACTCTGAAATCTATCCATGATAGGCAATGTGTCAGGGAAGGCCCAGATACGTGGGCTGGGTTTCTATGCTTGGATCCATTTATCATTTCCACTTTTCAAAAGGGATGGAACTATGGAGAAGCAGCAGCAGCATTCATTCCATAAGAACTCAGGCACTATTACTCTATGTATCATTACTGAGCATTTATAATAAATGAAGAAGTCATATGAGGAGCAATAAATGAAGAAGTCAAATGAAGAATTCTCATCCTAGATCACCTAGAGCAAGGTGTATAAGGAATCTCAAAACAAAATTCCTGGGAATATGACCAGAAAGCTATTACTCAGCATTCATTCAACATGTACTTAACTAAGCAGAGGCCTGTGCCAAACACTGGTGTGACTTATTCTTGATTCAGGATCTAAGAAAGAATCACACTCTTGAAAGCAAGCTGTATTAGGGGGACTTCTCCAGCCCATCAAGTTTAGGAATGTTATTATCATGTGTCTTAGGAGATAGGTGGCAGGACTCTCTTTGGGAAACTCTCAAGTACTATAGTTTCCTCAGGACACATATCTATTTCATGGGCTAATATAACAGCACAAAGAGGCCACTGGAACTCAAATTACATATTAAACTGACATTTCAGATATGCTTTATAGGCACTTTTGTGGAGTGTTCCACCAAGGGTTTTGGTTGATTTCTTTTCCTTCCCCAGGTGATGAAGTGTTTGTTTTTACCTCTACTTCAGCAACACTGGATTTCTGCTTGAGTCTGGGGGATAGTGTTTCCTATAATTCCTTCATTCCTTCCTTACATGCAATGGAATTTTGCCTGAGCCTTAGAGGTAAGAGCTCACTGCCCTGCTGTAGCAGCTTAAGGCTAAAGGGGAAGTGGGGACTTTGTCTATGTCACCCAGTAGCAGACTATCACTTCATGCTTACCTGTACCACGAAGGTCTCTTCATGTCTCTTGCCTTGCTTCCAATCTTGTTTTGTTTTGAGACAGGGTCTCACTCTGTTGACCTAGCTGCAGTACAGTGGTACAGTCTCAGCTCACTGCAACCTCTGCCTTCTGGACTTGAGTGATCTTCCTGCCTCAGCCTGCTGAGTAGCTGTGACTAAAGGTGCATGCCACCATGTCCAGCTAATTTTTGTATTTTTAGTAGAGGTGGGGTTTCACCATGTTGGCCAGGCCTGGCCTCGAACACCTGAGCTCAAGTGATCCGCCTGCCTTGGCTTCCCAAAGTGTTGGGATTACAGGAGCAAGGCACTGTGCCTGGCCCGATCTCTCAACCTTTCTTGTGAGCATTTGGTAGAGGTCCAACTTCTTATGTCTGAGGCTCTCAGATACTCTAAATAGGCATGCTAGCCCATACCTGGCCTTTAAGAATTTGCTAAAATTATTTAAAATTTCTTCTTACCTAGCCACTTTTCCCTTGTGCTCTAATATAGATGAAATACTTCATTTCACAGATATAGAATCCTATCCCAGTTTACATGGTTGGTTTGAGTCTTCAGCTATCTAATGGGCTGAAGAAAAATTATTGTTCTAGATTATCTGGAATTTTGTTTGCTAAATTGGGGGCAACACTCACATAATTTTTCTACATTTCTTCTTCAATTATATATACAAATATAGGAGTTTTGAATAGAATTTTACTAAAGTTAACTTTGGAGATTGTACAACATTATACAATTTGGTATTTACATCCAGAAATACTGGTATTTTCACTCATTTTTACAAAGAGTATCTTCCAGATTCTTTATGATATGGAGGCATGATTTGTTAACTGATTTTAACTTAAATTCCATATTGTTTTAAACACAAATTGAAGTGGCTTCTGGTATTGAAACATATTTAAAGGAAAACAGGGAAATTAAAAATTATTAGGTTAGAATAAATAATCAGAAAGGTACCTAGGTTTATAACAAAAATTAAACATTATATTTAGCTCTGAGATTCCCAGGAGAAAGGACAAAAAGGGAAACAGTACATCATGTAGTTCTCATAGTTGAATAGAAAGAATGCATTTTTTGTATGTAGTTCCTTTTAGAAATAACAAAATAGAAAATGAGTTCAACCATTGTTTTATAGAAGATAGGGAAATTTCCCTCAATTTAGCATTTCTTTTCCTCACATTAATAAAGTCTGCACATTAATAGGAAATAGGAATTTCAGATAATAAATATGAAAAGTTGAAATAATCCCGACAAATTTTTCAAATCAATTATTGAAAATCTTTAGTTAGAAAAAAAACCCTTTACTTGGAAAACAGCAGAAACAAAAGAAAAGTCATACTTCATGTAAACGACAGAACACTATGCTAGTTTAGTTCTATAATAAAATTCACAGAAATCTGTGTGTGTGGCCAAGAATGAGGATACAGAGAAAAGAAAAAGAAAATTCAGAGAGAGGTAGAATATAACCCTTTGCAAGTCTTGTCTGGAGAAGAACCTCTGGAAAATAATAAGTTACGATGGCCCTAGTCTACCAGCATGTCAGAGGCAGAACCAATGTAATCTCCTAAAATACGAGATTTGTGTCATTCTTAGGATAATTCACTAAGGCGGTTTGGTTCCGCCAATGAATAAAGTTTCTAATTCTACAATAAGCTCATCCTTCAGAACATCAGTCTCATCTCCAGATTCTTCCCCAAGCTTCTTCCACCAGGGTGCTTGTATGTGCTTCAGGGTAGTGAGATGGGCCTGCTTGGCCTTTGTTGCCACAGGCCTGGATCTACTTAGGAAGAGCTCAGGTTCTTTCCCTTCTGCCTCCTTCAGACTTGGTGCCTCTGTAGTAGACAGAAAATAAACAGATGAGCCAAAGAGTCCTAAGCCAAGCAGGTAGAAACCTGGAAGCTACAGAGCTGTAACTCTGCTATAGGACGCAGAAACAGCATTCCAACTCTGAATGTATCACCACTGCTAACTGTGGATGCTTTTTGACTATTCAAAAGTTATAGCTGTGGCTGGTGGCAATATCACCACCCCCGGCTACTTTTGTGTTTTTTGCTTTTTTTTTTTGAGACAGTCTCATTCTGTTGCCTAAGTTGGAGTACAATAGCATGACCACAGTTCACTGTAGCCTCAACCTCCTGGGCTGAAGTGATTCTCCCACCACACTTTCCTAAGTAGTTGGGACTATGCCACCATACCCAGGTAATGTTTTTTCTTTTTTGTAGAAATGGGATCTCACTATGCTGCCCAGGCTGGTCTCAAACCCCTGGACTCAAGCAATTCTTTGCCTCAGCTTCCCAAAGTGTTGGGATTATGTCCGTGAGTCACCATATTTGGCTCATTTCTGGTTTTGTTTGTTTATTTGCTTGTTTTGGGACAGAGTTTTGCTCTTGTTGCCCAGGCTGGAGTACAGTGGCATGATCTTGGTTCACTGCAAACTCTGCCTCCAGGGTTCGAGCGATTCTCCTGCCTCCGCCTCCTGAGTAGCTTGGATTACAGGCGTGTGCCACCATGCCCAGCTAATTTTGTATTTTTAGTAGAGACGGGGTTTCACCATGTTGGCCAGACTGGTTTCAAACCCCTAACCTCAGATGATTTGCCTGCCTTGGCCTCTTAAAATGTTGGGATTACTGGCATGAGCCACAGCACCTGGCCATTTCTGTGTTATAAAATAAGATGTAGATTTTTGTAAGATGGTTTATTTTAAGAACAGAAGCTTTAATAGTGGAACCTCAGTCTATAGATGAGAGGCTCGGTTTCAGCCATTTATCCAATTTAAAAATATAGAATTCATAAGTAGTGGCCATTAAATAGAAAACAGTTGTCCTTTCTGTCCACATACACTAAAGAAATCCAAGAGGCTGACTGAAACACAGGGGCCTCATGGATGGGGTCTCTCATTAAATTGATCAGTGGTTGTGAGACACAGATAAATTAATTTTTGTAAAAGTACCTCATTAAAAATTATAGGTCAGGCATGGTTGCTCACAACTGTAATCCCAGCACTTTGGGAGGCTGAGGCAGGTGGATCACGAGGTAAAGGGATCGAGACCATCTTGGCCAACATGGTGAAATCCATATCTACTAACAATACAAAATTAGCCAGGCATGGTGGCACACGCCTACTACATGTAGTCCCAGCTATTTGGGAGGCTGAGGCAGGAGAATCACTTGAAGATGGGAGGTGGAGGTTGCACTGAGCCAAGATCATGCCACTGCACTCCAGCCTGGCAACACAGCGAAACTCCATCTGAGAAAAAAAAAAACTTATAAAATGCTCTACAAGTGAATGGCACTGTAACTATTGTCGTCATCTACTTTTAAAATATGATGAAAAGCTTTCAGATTACATAGTAAATAGGGCTCAGCATCTGAAATTAATAACTTTGTCCTGATACATATAAATGATGGCAAGGCCTGGGGATGCAGGCAACAAGGAGGTTATAAAATTGGCATCATTTGAAAACACTGTTTGCTGGTCTGATTTTTGTAGGAATTTCCTGAGGTTAGAGGATGAGCTAAAGATGCTTACTAACTGTTCCCTTCTGAAGGTTTTGGATGTCACAAACCTTGCATAGGTTGTTCTTTTTCAAGAACAAAAGTAAAATAAGCACATACTCATTAGCTGTTCAATGTTGGTGCTGATTTGTGCCATCAAAGCTTCTCTGTGCTGCTGGGCTCGCTCTTCTAGGGCCCTGCCCATAAAATAGTGTTGCAGTCGTTCTTGAGCTTGGGCATGGAGCTCCCTACTGACCACATCTGGCATTGGAGAGCCCTGGAAACACAGGACGGAAAAACTTGTCACAAAGAGGACATAGGTTATCAAAGTACCCAACCACTTAGTAGAGATTTTAGAATGCTTATCTGTCTTTCATTTTATCAATTGAATCTCATTATTGATGTTTACCCTGTATTCCTGTACAAGTAATAAATAGTCTCTTAAAAGTTTTAGATAAAAAATAATGGTGGAGAAGTTTTTTTGTTTTGTTTTGTATGCACCCATACTTTACTTTCTCAGACACTGTGGAATTATGGGAGAAGAGATAAGATTGAGAGATTACAGTGAAAAAGTACAAATGCTTTGGTAAAGACTGGCCTGGAGCCAGGCGTGTTGGCTCATGCCTATAATCCCAGCACTTTGGGAGGCCAAGCTGGGTGGATTACCTGAGGTCAGGAGTTCAAGACCGGCCTGGCCAACATGGTGAAACCCTGTCTTTACAAAAATCAGCCAGGCATGATGACAGGTGCCTGTAATTCCAGCTACTTGGGAGGCTAAGGCGGAAGAATTACCTGAACCCAGGAGATGGAGGTTGCAGTGAGCCAATAATCTCGCCATTGCACTCCAGCATGGGTGACAGAGCAAGACTCTGTCTCAAAAAATAAAAAAATAAAAGACACTTGGCTGGAACAAGTGTAACAAAGCCAATTCCTTTGTTTTAGACCCCATCTGAAAGACTGTCTTCTTATCCTATTCTTGCTCTCAAACTTATCGAAGTCATATGTTATAATTGCTTCTGGATTCACAGAACGAGGGATAAAATCATCCAAAGGACCATATTCTTTTGGCTAGTCAGCTAATTTAAGAGGAATTTAACTAATTAGTTTGGGCAAGGATGAAATAATCTTAACTTTGGAGCTGATAAAGATTCTGACACCACAACTTTCTCAGATATTCCTGTTTGTGATCCTTTAAACAACCCTGTTCCACTAAAACCTTACTTCTCAGCCACAGGCTCTTAAACCGCTGCACTAGAGTATGGCTAAAGAAGCACTTAAAAAAAAAAGAAAAACAGGAGCATGCATCAGAACTACATATAGTGTATTTAAAAAAGAGAGATCAAAGACTGAAACATAAGAGCTAAAACTGTAAAACTCCTAGAAGAAAACACAGGAAGACATCATGACATTGGTTTTGGTGATGATTTCTTCATATCACACCAAAGAACAGGAAACAAATAAACAAAAAACAGAAAAATGAACTTCACCAAAATTAAAAACTTTTGTGTGCCAAAGACTACTATTAAGAAAGTAAACTGGCAGTCCACAGAATGGCATAAAATATTTGCAAATCATATATCTGATAAGGGATTAATCTCCATAATACATAAAGAACTCCTAAAACAACAAAAAACAACCTAATTAAAAAATGAACAAAATATAACCCTGTAGAAAAAAAAAATTAAAAGACTTAAATAGACATTTCTGCAAAAAAGATAAAGAAAAGGCCATAAACAAATGAAAAGATGCTCACAATCACTAACCAGAGAAAATGCAAGTTCAAACCATAAGATACCACTTCATATCTATTAGCTACTATCAAAAACAACAACTACAATGAAAATAACTAGTGTCGATAAGGATGTGGACAAAATGGAACCCTGTGTGCGACTGCTGATGGAAATGCAAAGTGGTATTGCCACTATAGAATACAGTACGGCAGTTCCTCAAAATTAAAAAAAAAAATAATTAGCATACAATCTAGCATTTTCATTTCTGGATACATACCCAAAATAAAAAACAAGGATACAGATATTTGTACACACATGCTCATAGTAGCATTATTTACAATATCCAAAGGGTGGAAGGAAGCCAAGTTTTCACTGACAGATTAATGGATAATCAAAATGTAGTATATATAATGGAATTATTATTCAGCCTTTAAAAAGTAGGAAATTCTGACAAATACTAAAATATGAACCTTGAAGACATTATACCAAGTGAAACAACCAAGTATGATTCCTCTCATGAGGTACGTAGATTAGGCAAATTCATAGAAATAGAAAGTAGAATGGTGGTTGCCAGGAGCTGGGTCGTGGCAGAATGGTGAGGTAGTGTTCAATGGATGCAGGGTTTCAATTATGCAAGATGAAAAAAATTCTGAAGACGGATGGCAGTGATGGTTGCACAAACAATATGAATGTACTTAATGCCACCAAACTGTACATTTAAACATAGTTAAAATGGTAATTTTCACATTTTACCTATTTTACCACAGTGAAAATAAATAAATTTTTAAAATATAGATACATGATACCACACAAAACTTACCATATCAGAATTTCTTGGGATGTGGGGGCTTTGGTATTTAATTGTTATAAAGGTGATGAAATTTGTAAATGGTTAAAATTGTTAAAAGCAATATAGTCCTTTCTACAGAGCTTAGGAACTGATTATCTATTTGTTGGAAAGGAGGCACGCTTCTGTCTTCATTCTATCTCTGCTCACAGAAAAAAAGTTTTCAGTGTGGTTCTGCCTCTCTTTAATTCAGTTCTGGTGCTTGACTAAGGCAGGAGTTGCTAATATGATTGATTGTCACTCAGAAGATTCATTTGCCATGTTTTATTGGTGGCCAGGGTGATTATTTTTAAAAGCTCAGGACCCCCAAATTTTTTTTAAGCATTTAGGTTAAAACAATTTTTTAAAAAATACAGCTTTATTGAGGTAAAAATAACATACACTAAATGACAAATATTGAAAGGGTACAGTTTGCTAAGCTTTGAAATACACATACATCTGTGAAACCATCATCACAATCAAGATAATGAACATTCATCACTACCAAGTTTCCTTGTGCCCTTTTGTAAACCCTTATCCTCACCCTTCACATCCGCTTATCCCGAAGCAACTACTTATCTCTTTAATGCTACTATAGTTTATATTTTTAGAGTTTACATAAAAGGAATTATAAAGAATATATTCTACTCTGTCTTCTTTCATTTTGCATAATTATTTTGAGATTCATCCATGTGTGTTTTTTTTTTTCCTTTTTCTTTTTCAAATTGTTTTGAGACAGGGTCTCATTCTGTCACCCAGGCTAGAGTGCAGTAATGCCATCACTGCTCACTGCGGCCTCAAATTTCTGGGCTCAAGTGATCACCTGCCTCAGCTTCTCAAAGTGCTTGAATTACATGCATGAGCCACCATGTCCAGCCAGAGATTCATCCATGTGGTTTAGAGTATCAATTTATTCCTTTATACATGCTGAATAGTACTCCATGGTTCTAGTTTTTTGGCCATGAGCATTCATGTACAAGTGTCTGTATGGACATGCATTATTTTTCTCTGTGGTAAATATCTAGGAGTGGAATGGCTGAATCATATGATAGATACATGTTTAATTTTTATTTTATTTTTTTTTTGAGATGGAGTTTTGCTCTTGTTACCCAGGCTGGGGTGCAATGGCGCGATCTCGGATCACGGCAACGTCTGCCTCCTGGGTTCAGGCAATTCTCCTGCCTCAGCCTCCCGAGTAGCGGGGACTACAGGCGCGCGCCACCGTGCCCAGCTAATTTTTGTATTTTTAGTAGAGACGGGGTTTCACCTTGTTGACCAAGACGGTCTCGATTTCTTGACCTCGTGATCCACCCACCTCGGCCTCCCAAAGTGCTGAGATTGTAGGCGTGAGCCACCGCGCCCCGCCTACATGTTTAATTTTTAAAGAAACTGTCAAACTGTCTTCCAAAGTAGTTGTACTATTTTACATTCCAACAAGAGATGATTCTGCCACATGCTTGCTAACCTTTGACATGTTCCATTTTATAAATTCTAACAGATATGAAGTATCTGACTGTGGGTTTTTTTTGAAAAATTTTAAATTTTTATTAAGAAAATGGGGTTGTTGCCCAGGCTGATCTCAAACTGCTAGGCTGCAGCAATCCTCCTGCCTTGGCCTCCTAAAGTGTTGGGATTACAGGTATGACCCACTGTGCTGGGCCCTTATTGTGGTTTTAATATGCATTTTTCTTAGTGACTAATGATGCATTTTAATATGCATTTTCCTTAGGGACTAATGCATGTGTTTATTTGCTATCTGTCTATCTTTGGGTGAAGTTTCTGTTCAAAGCTTTTGTCCATTAAAACAAAAACAACTAGTTCATATGTTTTCTTATTGTTGAGTTTTGAGAGTTCTTTCTATATTATGGATATAGGAACTTTATCAGATATATGCTTGGCAATGATATTCTCCCAATCTGTTCCTTGTTTCTTTAACTCTCTTAACAGTATCTTCTGAAGAGAAGTTTTAAATTTTGATAAAATCAATTATCAAATTTTCCTTTTTGAATCATGCTTCTGGTATTGTAGTCAAGAAAAGTCACAGTATTTCTCCAATGCTTCCTTCTAGCAGTTTTATAGTTTTAAGTTTTGCATTTAGGCCTATGATCCACTTTGAGTTAAATTTTGTATATGAAGTTGTGTATGGCTTCAAGTTCAATTTTTTTTTAATATATGGATAGCCAATTGCTCCAGTTTCTCTACTGCAGTAACTATGCATCTTTATCAATTGGTTGTGTATATATGTGCATTTATTTCTGGATTCAAGTCTGTTCCACCGATCTATTTTTGTATCTTTGTATCAATATCAAAATGTTTTGATTTTATAGCTTTATTATAAATGCTATACCTTTATAATTGCAATCAGGTAATGTTAGCCCTCCAACTGTTCTTTTTTGCAGTTACTTAGCTATTCTATTCTAGGTCCTTTGAATTTCTATATGAATTTTAGAATCAGTGTGTCAATTTCTACAAGAAAATCTGATGGGATTATGATTGTGTTGAATGACATTCTGTTTTGTTCCTAATCTCAGAGGAGAAACATTCAGTCTTTTGTTATTGAACATGATGTCAGTTGTAGGTATTTCATGGATACCTTTCATGGGGTGAGAAAGTTTCCTCCAGATTCCTAGTTTGTTAAGATTTGGTTCTTGGGGTGTGTGGGGTGTCAGTACTAGATGTTGTATTTTGTCAAGTTCTTTTTCTGCATTTATTGATGTAATA